TGTTTTATGTACTGGACCACAGATTACCCTTTCTTAAGAAGTATCTCAGGGTAAGAAAAGAAGGAAACTGTGTAGCTATATTTAAAGGAGATGATAACTTTGCAGGCACTGTATGATGCTTTTCCTAAAGGACTCTGAAAGAAAAAGATTCCACCTGTATTTTAAGCCCTAAGTTATATCTTGCTGTGTATTTAATATGAGCAGACTTAACTTTTGGTACTCTTAATGCAAGGTGGGTCATATGCGACCACACCACTCATTTACTGTTGTCTCTGGTTATTTTCTGGTTTTTTGTTTTGTTTTTTTACACCACAGCAGTACAATCGAATAGATGCAACAGGGCTTGTATGGCCTGCAGAGCTTAAAATATTTCCTATCAGGTCCTTTACAGAAAGTTTTCTGGCCCCTACTCTCAAGGAATAATAGCCAGGGGGATGGGTGGAGGGAGTGTCCATTCCCTTTTTGGTGATTTTGTTGGGGCTACAAAGGAGGCTTATGGAAATACTATGGGTGAAGGGACTAATATTTTAAAACCAAATGCTACATGTTAGGAAAATTAAAAGTGTTTTACCAGCATATTAGCAAGTGTTTCAGCAAAACATATTATGTTGGTTTTGTGTGGGGAATGCCATAGTTTGAATGGGTGCAACTTGACGTATATAAAGAAAACAGATTCCACTGAGCTCATTTTGACAAATGCAACACAGTAGGAATATCCAATTTGATATAAAATGTGGTAGAGAAAGTTGAATCTTTCTGGAACATTGTACAAAATGAAAAATGAAATCCATCAATTAATTAATAATTGTTTATGATGAACCATCATAAAACACCCTTTTTATAGGTCTTTAAAAATATCCACAATATGTTTCCACCAGATTACACCATAGTAGGTGCAGAACTGTCTATCAAAAGAGAAATCTTCTGAAGACAAATCTGGTCAAATAACATATTTTAATGTCAACTTAATGGGTTTTTTTTGTCTGACTCATCAGAGTTATACTTTGAAATGGCAATAAATTTCTCTACATTCTTTATTTTGTATATTGATTTAATGTGCTTGTCAAGTCTTCCTCTAACTTATACTATTTATAGTTGATTCTTCAGCCTTTCCTTTAGGTTTACTTAGCATAAAACTTGAGGAAAACATAGAGGAAAAGCTTCATGACATTGGATTTGGCAGTGATTTCTTGGATATGACACCAGAAGCACAGGCAAGAAGAGAAAAAAATAGTTAACTTCATCAAAATTAAAAACTTTTTAATCAAAGGACAGTATCCACAAAACGAAAAGGCAACCTACAGAACCAAAGAAAATATTTGCCAATCATATAGCTAATAAGGGTCTAGTGTCCAGAATAAAGGTCTACAACTCAGCAACCAAAAAACAAACAACCTAATTAAAAAATGGGCAAAGGACATAAAGAGACATTTCCTAAACAAAGATGTACAAAATGCCAATAACATATCAAAAGATTCTCAACATCATTAATCAGTATCACTTCATGCCCATTACAATGGCCACTTATCAAAGAAGGAAAATAAGCATTGACAAGGATGTGGAGAAATTAGAACCCTTGAACGTTATTGGTGAGAATGTAAAATGGTGCAACCACTGTTGAAGACAGTATGGTAGTTCCTCAAAAAATTAAACACGGACACCTAGGTGGCTCAGTCGGTTGAGCATCAGACTCTTGATTTCGGTTCAGGTCGTGGAATGGAGCCCTGCGTCAAGAATCCCGAGCTCTGCTTGGGATTCTCTCTCTCCCTCTGCCCCTCTCCAGCTCATGTTCTCTTTCTAAAATAAAATTTTAAAAAAAATCAAACATAGAATTACCATATGATCCAGCAATTCACTTGTAGGTAAACACCCAAAAGAATTGAAAGCAAGGACCCAAATAGTTGTATACCAGTGTTCACAGCAGCATTATTCGTGTAGCCAAAAGGAAGGTGAAAGTAACATAGGTGTCCTTTGATGGATGCATTCATCCTTATCCATTCGATTATCCATTGATAAGCAAAATGTAGTATATATGTGCAGTGGAATATTAGCCTTAAAAAGGACTGAAAATCTGGTATATGCTACAGCATAAATGAACCTTTAATACGTTACACTAAGTGAAATAAAAGGACAAAGTGTAGGTACGTGAAATAAATTCATAGTGACAGAAAGTAGAATAGTGGTTATGGGGAGTCAAGGGAAGGCAGAACAGGGAGTTAATTATTACAGAGTCTGCTGGGATGATGAAAAATTCTGAAGATGGCAAGTCATGATAGTTGTACAATATGAATATACTTAATATCCCTGAATTATACATTTTAAAAATGGCCAAAATGGTAAGCTTTGTTATATATATTTTATCACACACACAAAAAATTGTGCATATACTCATAACCACAAGCCAATAGCACACTTCTGCAATGGTTGGCTTAAGAATGTCAAGAATAGTAACAATAATAAAGATAACAATTAATTGAGCTAAACAAAAGAAAAAGAAAGAAAATGATCTCAAATCGACAACCTAACATCACACCTAAGGACCTAGAAAAAAAAGAGCAAACTTAAGTCCAAAGCTAGCAGAACGAAGGAAATCAAAACTAGAGCAGAGATAAAATAGAGAACATAAAAACAGTATCAAGGAAATAGAAAATTGGTTCTTTGAAAAGACCCACAAAATTGACAAACCTACAGCCAGACTAAGAAAAAAAGAAGATGCAAATAACTAAAATCAGAAATGAAAGTGGGGGAATTATCACCAACCTCAAATAAGTAAAACAAACAAAAAGGAGTAATAGTACTTCAACAAATAAACTAGATGAAAGTGGACAAATCCCTAGAAACACACAAATTACCAAAACTGACACAAGAAGAAATAGAAAATGTGAACAGGCCTATAACAGATTAAATCGGTAAAAAAAAAAAAAACACAACTTTCCAACGCCATATATTCTTATGAATATAGATGAAAAAGTTCCTCAACAAATTCCCAGCAAACTACAACAGCACAGTAAAGGGATTATATACCATGACCAAGTGGTATTTATCTCAGGAATGCAAGGGTAGTTCGACATAAGAAAATCAACCAATGTAGTAGATCAGACACACACACAATGTGTATATCATACATATAGGATATACACACATCATATAAGAGGACAAAAGGGAAAAACTACATGATGATCTCACTTGATGCAGAAATAACTTTTGATAAAATCCAACACCCTTTTATGATAAAAGCACTCAGAAAAATAGGGACCAAAGAATAGGAATAAGTAGAATAGAATGGTAAGAACTTCAACTTTATAAGCATTTATGGAAAACCCCACAGCTAACATCATACTCAATAGTTAATGACTAAAACCTTTCCTTTTAAGATCAAGAACAAGACAAGGATGCCCACTTTTATCACCACTATTCTACACTATACTGGAAGTCTTAGCCAAAGTAATCAGTCATGAAAAAGAAAAGGAATCCAATTTGGAAAGGAAGAAGTAAAACTATCTCTATTCACAGGTGATGTTATCCCATATGTAGAAAATTCCAAGAAATCTACAAAAACTCTAGTGCTAATAAATTCAGCAACATTTCACAGTATATCAATGCAAAAATTCATTTGTTTGTTTTTGCATATACAACTCAAAAGCAAATTAAGAAGACAATTCATTTGCAGTGGAATCCAAAAGAATAAAATATCTGTAAATAAATTCAACCAAGAAGGTGAAAGACTCGTACGGTGAAAACTGCAGCAATGTTGCTGCACTAAATGAAAAGACATCTGTGCTATTATGGGTTGGAAGGTAATTTTATTAAAATGACAGTACTACCCAAAACAATCTATAGGTTCACTGTGATCTCTATCAAAATTCCAACAGCCTTTTTTGTAAAACTGTTGTGGAATATTCAAACGTTAAGTTGCTTTGTATCATTAACGATAACTGTAAGCAACCCAAACTAGTTATAACGGAATTTTAAATTATCTGGTGTATGCTGAAAGTGCCATAAGAAGTTGAGACAGGATTCAATGATTCTGTGTTTTCTCATTTAGGGTCGAGTGATTAAAGTACGAATACCCAGTTGACAAGAGCCGTGTCTTTTGAAGCTTTAACAGAACTCCTACACTGATTCTCCAGTCTCCAATCACACTTGTATGGGTGCCTTTGTCCTCCACCCTTTAAATGCTCTTATGCATATTGAGTACTGTTCCTCCATGTGTCAGATTCCTGTATAGTCTTAGTCTTAAATATTTCACCATATCTACCAAGGTATGTAAACTTTGTAACATGCCTCAGAGAAAAGATTTTGCAATCATGCAGATCACAGCCTGTGAGCAAACCGCTCCCCTCTATACTTTAGTTTCCTCATCTGCAAAACAAGACCAGTAGGGTTGTTACAAGGATTAAAGCCAATGATTTACATAAAGCGTCTCCAACAATACCACGTACACCATAAACTCTAAATAAGAGCCAGCTAATTTTGTAACATACCAAAATTGGATGCATAATTACTATCTTCATTTTGTAAAGAACATGAGGAAGTAAGCCCACCCTATTCCTCAGCTTTGGCCACAGCTATTCAAACTCAAAGTTGTCATAGGCAGGATTTTGTTTAAGGCCTTGAACCAGGCTTGTTTAAGAGGTCACTACAGCCTTATGAAATGTTCTATTGCCATCTTTTTGTAATAATAAGAGAGACCAAGAATAGAAATGTGTCCCTTTCTTATGTTCTTTCCAGCTAGAAATGCCAATAAATTACAAGTAAAGGAATCTACCGTTCATTCGTTGTTCAATTTGTTGCACGGTCTATGGTATAACACAATACAGCAATGCGAGGGAAGAAATTTATTTTGTTTAGTGTTAAAAAAAGATAAATTCACTGTCAGTATCACCAAAAGATAAATAGCATTTCCATAATTTCGAGTATGACCAAAGCACACAGGCCATTAGAAATGATATACAAAATTCTGAGGGTAGCAGCTTCCAAATGAAGTATTTAAGATACTTTCAATTGTAATGATCAGTAAAACGAAAAGCTTTGGCTTCTGACATATGTAGGTGGCTCTGCAATTGTTTAGAATGCTTTGCTTCTAGTCGGAGCTGTCTAGTTCTTTCTCTGACAGCTTGTTGCTCTGCTAGTTTTTCGATCCGTTTCCTTCGTAGCCATCTGTAGAAAAAGATATGATCAGAACTGGTGAGTATAAACCTCTCTTTTGCTGTAAAGTTACTACTGCAGGCTATTAAATGAAATTGAGTTCTTTACATTGAAATGCTATAGTCACAACAAAAATTATTAAAGTACTAACTGAAAAATTTCAGACTTATCCCCTATGATCACACAAGGAAGCACAGTCACATTTGCAATCAAATACTTAAAATTAAGTTTCTCTTACAATGAAACTGCCAGCTAAAAAAACTGGGTTTTTAGTAATAAATACAATATTTCACATGTGATAAAGGTCCTATTCTTTTTTTTAATATGATTTTCTAAGCAATCAAGTATTTGATAGATTCCAAATAACTTATTTTTTGCAACTAGCTGTATTCTAAAACATGGCTCAGTTAGGTTAAGAATACCAACATACAGAAATATTGCCTTAGCACTGGCAATGAGCACTGGGCGTTGTACGTAAGTGATGAATCACTGAATTCTACTCCTGAAACCAATACTGCATCAAATGTTAACTAAAATTTAAGTTAAAAAAAAAAAAGAAAGAAAGAAAAAGAAAGAAAGAGAAAAGAAAAGACAGAAAGACAGAAAGAAAGGTTACCTCGTTCTTGGTAGACATTCACGTGCTCTATGGTGAAGGAAGAGTCCACATTCTAACCAATTTGAATCTATAACCTTGCTTAGGTAAAATAACCCCCAAATAACTGTATACATACATATGAAAGTATATATGTGGTATGTGTGTTTATACACACTTGTTTTCAGAAATAACCCTAAACAACAAAATAACTGTGTCAGAACTGAATAGACTTAAGCATCTAAGCCAAGGTTGTGTGGTCCTGAACTAGACACTACTTTGAGCAAATTAATTGTAGTCATTTAGGGGTCAATTGGGAAAAAATAGGATTCTGGACTGGGTATTAGATGAGATCGTCAATAAAAATAAGCAGATTACAGAACAGTATAACCAGTATGATCTCAATTTATATTTTAAAATTATAAACGTATGTATAGAGAAAAGATATGCACTAAGGTACTAACAGTGATCTCTGGGTGATGAAAATGTGACTTTTCAGCCTCCATTTCCACAATGCACATTTACTGCTTCTGTTATGATAATTACATATGTTAAAAAAAAAAAAAAGGAAAGGAAGGAAGAAGCACAGAAACAAAGACAGAGACAGCAAAAAAGACAGTAAAGAAAGGAACTTCAAACAACTGGACTCATTCCCTCTCCCAAGGCCTGCTGGCAAAATTCTGAAACCAGGTCTGTTTCCTCACAATTAGTCAGGTAATACAAAGTATCCACCAGGTAACTGAAAAGATCGGGTCTGCCTTGAAAGTATGTGTCCAAAATCTCTTTTTCCATTTGGTTTGTACAGATCTTCCTCCTCAGCCTGTCTTTCTTTACACAAAAATATTTCTTGGGAAATGCAACTCTTTATTCAGTTTTTCTGAGGAGTGTATAAGAGAAGCTGTAAACAGTCTTTGGTCCATTTCTCTAAGAAGTGAACAAAATAACAAATAAAATAAATGGCAGGCTATCAAAGGTTATCAGACTGGTGAAATATAAAATAATTTTGGGGGGCACCTGGGTGGCGCGGTCGGTTAAGCGTCCGACTTCAGCCAGGTCACGATCTCGCGGTCCGTGAGTTCGAGCCCCGCGTCGGGCTCTGGGCTGATGGCTCGGAGCCTGGAGCCTGTTTCCGATTCTGTGTCTCCCTCTCTCTCTGCCCCTCCCCCGTTCATGCTCTCTCTCTGTCCCAAAAATAAATTAAAAAACGTTGAAAAAAAAAATTTAAAATAATTTTGGTATTGAAAATATCTTGAAGAGGGGCGCCTGGGTGGCTCAGTCAGTTAAGCGTCACACTCTTGGTATCATCAGCTCGGGTCATGATCTCACGATTCGTGAGATTGAGCCCCACATGGAGCTCTGTGCTGACAGCCCAGAAGCTACTAGGGATTCTGTCTCCCTCACTCTCCGCCCCTCCCCCATCTCCAAAAATAAATAAACATAAAAAAAATAGAAAATACCTTGAAGAAAGAAAGAATGGTATATAGATAGAATGCATAGTATGGAGCTAAAGAATTTTCTCAGGTTTTAGAAGCGTGGACTTAAAACTGAATAGATATGTAATATAAGCAATAAAATATTTTGTGGTATTTTTTTTTCCAAGCTTTCTTGACGATATAACTCTCTACAATGACTGTGAGAAAAGGGGAAGCATGCCCTGCCTGTGACTTACTGTTTAAAGGCCCTTTCGCGGCCTTCGGTCCCTTTAAGGAAGAATAAACATTCCTCCTGCTTTCGTAGTTCTTCTGTCTTTCTTTCTCTCAGCTGCTCTTCGTGCTTTTTTTTAAGCCATAATCGAAAAGCTTGTTGTGGATCTCTGTTTTCCTGCTGATTACAAAAACAAGCTTTATTTAATTTTCAATACACCAAAACAGCTTTTTGAGGCCCTGACTATAGGACCCTACAAGAATATGTGTTCCACTCATCAATTTTTCTTAATAATGCCAACCTCACTACCTGCACTCCTAGCATCCAAACAAAATATATCGCCTTTGACTCGCACCACTGATCGCCCCCTGTCAGAAAACCCAACACTGTATTCATTGCCATCCAGCGCCTTTCAAAAGTCTTATTGAGGTAAGCAATAAATGAAGAAGGTTTAAATGCAGTGATCTGCAAACTTTTCAGTGATGAGAGCCCTTTGACAAGTAAAGTAATTTTTCACAATGGCACAAAAAATAAAACAGGGTTGAAGAAAGATCGGGATAGGCAATATGAGTGGAGTTGAGGTCTTTGTAGCAATTCCTGAAGGAGCTCCCTGGAATGCAGTTGGAAAACTAATGATCTGACACTTCTGTTATTCATCCTTTCTTTTAAATTCTGTCTTTGTTTTTAACTTTTAAGAGCATCTAACTACCAAGCTCATCTCCAAACTGTAACTACTCTTATGGAGGGCGGCCATAAGGATTTGCAACCATAAGAATTTTCTCATCAGGATAACAGCCGTGATGATTTTGTCATAAGTAAAAGCCAGTGGGAGTAGCTTATTGTATATACAGTTCCTCAAACTTCATGATGAATCCTATCTTCAGGGAATTTTCACAGTTGAAAGAGCTCTTCTGTGAGAGAATAAAGAAAGCAAAGGGACAGATGTGGCATGAGGGGAAAGCACGTCTCATCCTATGGATGCCTGGCTAAAACGCAAAGGACCTTTTCTTTATGTATTCATTTAATACTTTCCCCGAACATGAGCTCTATGATACAGAGCATACACTTCTTTCATCTTGCATTTTCCTTTATCTATCACTCCCATTGCCAAGTATGTTCCATTTTAATTTATATAATTTATGTAACCTAGGATCTTTGATTTGCAATGCTGAAGTTTGTGAAGAGGACCCATGGACCTAAGGATCATCGCTGAACACCTAGAAGCCTGGGAAGGGCTAGAGATGACTAAAAAGGGTTCACGCTGGAATTCGAGATCAAGAGAGTGAAGGATTCAGAGGTGACCAGGATTTACTGGTATCTCTGTTCATTTATTCATTCAGCACTTACAGCTGTCTACCACATACAGTATATACAGGCACACTGGTACGGGGCTGCATCGGTGAAAAAAACGAGGTTCCCCCTCTTCGTATTCTGTGATTGCACGACACGGTGGTCCTCGTCACACGCAGCTACTTAAATAAAATTTAAAATTCAGTACTTCACTCACATTAGCTACATCTCAAGCGCTTAATAGCCATGTTGTGGCTAGTGGCTACTTTACTGGACGGCACAAACAGCATTCCCATCATCACAGAAAGTTGTACCAGGCAGTGTTACTCTAGATGAGGAGATGAAAACAGAGGATCGATCGATTGATAGGTCAGATTCAAAAGAGAAGTATGCTGAGGGGAGAGAGAATATGGGGGAGGTGAGGAGAAAGATGGTATGTAGACAGAAAGGGGGGGGTAAGTTAGTGGCTGTCTGGAGGAAGGGTATTTCAAGCAGTGGTAACAGTAAGAGCGAACGATCTGAGAAGAGACTGTGTTTGGTGTGCTCAATAAACAGCAAAGAAGTGAAAGTGAAGCTATGGCAAAGTGGCTGGAAAGTGGTAGGAGACGAAGTGAAAGAAGGCTATGGTAGGCGACGGCAGGAACACTAGCAGGTTTTATTTTGAGACGAGAAGCCACTGGAGGTTTCTAAGCATAACGGACACAATCTATTCTGGGGATTCTCTCTCCCTCTCTCTGCCCCTCCCCCACTCATGCTTGCTCTCCCTCTCTTTCTCTCTCCAAATAAATAAATAAATAAATAAATAAATAAATAAATAGATAGATAGATAGATAAATAAATAAATAAATAAATATTTTTCTTTAAAAAGAAGCTCTGAATTGTATTCTTTAAAAACATGAACGATGGCTGAACGTAATTTATTTCAAAAAATGTTCATGTTAAAAGGCATCATGGTTATGTATTTCCCGTCGGAATTTTTTTTTCTTAATTTGAAGTCTGTCTCAAAGATTAACTTTAATGAGAAACCATATCATAAATGAATCATATTCTCAAGAACTTTTGTGAATTTTGTCACTTTGAATTTGGACGCTTAACTGACTGAGCCACCCAGGCACCCCCAGTTCGAAGTTTCTATTATCCCCAAGTAGGACACAATAGAACACTGAAGCGTACGTTTATTTTTATAAATACCCTATAAAAATATTATGTTGGGCTGAGTGCCATGAAGCCTGAGGGTCCACCATCCCCTGGGAAACTGCAGGCAGTGCACTCACAGCTGTGTTTTTCTTGGTCACTGAAACGTACGCTCCTCTTGTCTGCAATACTTTTCAATATTACAGCAATGTGCTGTGCCTCTCCCCTCCCAAGCCTGAATTCCCCGCTTCCCTCAAACACTTCCCTAGTTTCTCCCTTGTCATTCCCATTCAAAGATATAAAAGCTCCTAAACATGTCCATTCTCACAAGATACCGAAAGGGCCCTGGACTTAAACCTCCTGTGTTACCCAAATCCGGATTCTCTCCCAAGAAGCAGTTTTCCTCTCCCAAATAGACTCTGCATTTCCTGCCAGACTTCAAGTACTTCACAGGTCAGGTGCAGAAGTTAGGACACACACCTTCATACTCTTCAGAACTCTGTGCCTCTACTCTTCTAAGTAAAGCCACACTCATCTGACATTTACACCATTTGGCTCCCTTAATTTCACAACCTCTGGTCATTCAACATCCAGCCTCACAGAGTTCTCATTTTCTCATCTTCTAGGCCTTTCTCCAGGGCCCTTGACACCCAGACCTACAGCCACGGCCACATCCCCACAAACTGGGGATGGAGGGCGGCCATTAGTCTTTGAAATCACTAATCTTCTCATTCTCCACGCTAGCCATAAAATATATCTCTCCAGTCACGTTTCAACAGCTTCACCTGGATGTTTCGTAGGGACCTCAAACTCAACAAGTGAAAAACTGAAATAGCCGTTTCCTCCACCAGTGTGTTACTCTCCACTGCTCCAGTGAGTGGCACCATCATCCACCGAGCTCCTCAGAAGAGAAAACTAGTATATTCTCTTTATACCTCATTCTCCCTCACACACATATCTAATTCATTACAAAATTCCTCCAGTCAGTATTTCAGAACATCTTAAATGACTCCTATCTCTCTCCCTCCCTTTCTCCCCCTCCCTCTCTCCCCCTCTCCTGTTACGATTCTAGCCCAAGTCACTATCCTTTCTCCCTCATCTACAACTACATCTGCTTTTCAATTGCTCTCCCCACATCTTCTCTTGTCCCCTTCATTCAGTTATAAAAATTCAGTCAAGACTATAAACAGAAAATTCACAGAATATACACATGGTCATATGTACTCATGAAGAAAAATTAAGAAGATAAACCACATAAAGTGTTAGTCAGGATGTGGTAAATATTCGCTCTTACACACTGTTGGAGGGACTAACAATTGATACGACCTTTCGGGAGGTTAATTTTTGCACATTTAACTAAAAATTTCACTCTGGACACCCAGTGAGTCATAGATTCCACTCTTCAGAAACTCTCCTACAGAACGAACATGTTCACTACAGCATTGTTAGTGAATAGAACAATATCGGAGCCAAGCTGAATACCCACAATTGAGGATTTAATAAATTATCTCTGAACAGAATACTATGCAGCTACTTGAAAAGAAATATCTAAATGTAATGACCTAGAAATAGTCTCTGAAGAGTTAAATGGAAAAAAAAAAGTAAAGTGTATCACAAAATTTTGACTTGTGAGACTGTAAATATAAATAAGACTTGGAAGACTTGCACACACTCTGAAAGTGCGTATCACTAGGAGAGGAGTCAGGGGAGGGCACAGGACTGAATTTTCAATTTTTTATTTCTATGCTTTTTAGAAAAATTGGTAGGGATAGGGACGGTTTTTTGCGTTGTCTTTGGTTTCCTGTAATGTTTCAAACTTTTAAAAACTAAATAATTTGGTGTCTTTGTTAGCTTTCATGTAAGATTTAGATGTATCTATTCTTTTAAAAAAAATTTTTTTTTTTGAGTATAGGTGACACACGATAATGTCACATTACTTTCGGGTGGATAACATAGTGACTCACCCTCTCTAGGCTCACCACAAGTGTAGCTACCATCTGTTACCACACAACATTATTACAATATCCTGTACTGGATTCCTCATGCCGACCCTTTTCTTGCCATGACTTACTCACTCCGTAACAGGAAGCCTGTACTTCGCATTCCCCTTCACCCATTTTGCCCATCCCCCCACCCTCACCTCCGGGCGCTGGCAACCACCATTTTGTTCTCTGTATTTGTAGGTCTGACTCTTTTTGTTCGCTCATTTGTTTTGTTTTCCAGATTCTACATTATGTGTGAAATCAAACGGTATTCGTCTTTTCTCCATCTGTCTATATGTCTATTGGTTTTTTTTAATTTTTAATGTTTTATTTATTTTTAAGATAGAGAGAGACAGAGCATGAGTGGGGATGGGGCAGAGAGAGAGAGGGAGACACAGAATCTGAAGCAAGTTCCAGGCTATGAGCTGTCAGCACAGGGCCCGACACAGGGCTCGAACTCACGAACTGTAGGATCATGACCTGAGCCAAAGTCGGACGCTCAACCGATTGAGCCACCCGGGCGTCCCTATTGTTTTTTATATGTTTATTTATTTATTTTGAGAGACAGCACAAGCATGGGAAGGGCAAAGAGAGAGGCAGAGAGAGAACACGGGGCTCCATCCCATGAACCGTGAGATCATACCTGAGCTGAAATCAAGAATCCGGTGCTTAACCGACTGAGTCACCCAGGCACGCCATATGTCTGTTCTTAAGTAGACCCATTCTGTAGAGTTTGTGTGTGTGTGTGTGTGTGTGTGTGTGTGTGTGTGTGCGCATGTGCGTGTGTGTATGCACGTGTATGCTATCTTTGTCCTATTTGAATAGCAAAGTTATAATATCCTGAAAAAACATATTGGTAGTTTTCCATTTCCTGTGCTATAAAAGTCTGAATAAAATAGGACTCATTTGATTTTCACAGGCTTCTTAGAATTTAATTGTAAAGTCATCTGTATGTTGCATCTTTTGCAAGGGTTGCTCTTGGACCACTTTTCCTACTTTTTCCATAGTTTCTTATTCTGATATTCTCATTTCTTCCTGTAATTCAGCTTTCATATCTGTATCAACTTACATTTCATAGAGAAGATTTACTTACTCTGCTATTCATGTCTTCGATTTGCTTTGCTCGCTGAATTCTCCTCATTTCTATGATCTGCTCTCTTTTCTTTTGCAACCATGCTTTAAATACCATGTCATTCTGTTTTTTCTTTTCTTTTTCTTCTTCTATTTTTCGTTGTTCTTCCTGGTGGAAAGAGTTATCAAAAGACATTCATGAAAAACTAATAAAATTGTATATGAGTTATCAGAGTAGGGAGATATATTTTGAGATCTGAAATTAGCATTCTCTGCTCCTAAAACTTTCCATCGGAAAATTGGGCTTCTCCAAAAAAAAAAAAAAATAGGGACTCTAATTTGCTTAGGAATAAAATTAAGGTTTATCAGATAAATGAAATTGGAGAGATAAATTCTACAATTACATAGATGTACAATATATGTATGCATGCTGTTCAGAAATTTCTTGAATCTCTCCTTCATTTCCTGGTTTACTTTTGGAATTAAACCCCTCAAATTGTAGCTTTGCCAAAGGAAAAAAAAAAGGCCACCACACTCTAGAAGCACTATATGGTGTCTACAGGAGCATCATAAATGTTTGAAACATTTTTACATTATTGTTAAATTTGTTAATTGTCATAAATGACATTGTGGTCATGAAAGAGAAGGCTAACATCGTCATTTAGAAATATATATTAAAATGTACAAGTGAGCAATAATGCTCTACCTAGGACTTGCTTTAAACATACATCAGCCAAGAAACAAAGGAGATGAAGCAAATATGCCAAAATCTCAATGACTTTCAAATCTGGGTGATGGGGACACAGAGATTAACCGTACCTTCATATGTGTTTGAATTTTTTTATTACACTGTTTAAAAATATTTTTCAACTAATATATATTCACAAAGTAACATTTTTTGTTATCAGAACAATATTTAGACAGTTAACTACAGGAACAAAATGAATTTTTTATATGAATTATTCAATGAATGTTATAAAAGGAAGTTTCTTAAACTTGAGGAGGGGTACTTAAACCAGTTGTGTAGAGCTATAAAATAGTCACTAGGAGCAAAGAGGAGCATGTCAGGAACATATCATAGTGAAAATTGTACTGAGCTAAAAGTTAGGAGATCTGAGTAGCAAGCATGCTGCGATTGTACTATGTCGATTTGGTCAAACCACTTAACTCTGTATTCTCCTCTACAAGATGGAGTGAAATTAATGAGCTCTCAAGTCTCTCCCAATACTAAAATTTTATCACTTAAATGAACTGAATTATATAATCTATGCTTTAATTTTCTTCAAATGGTGGAATTCAGAGTTCTTTCTTTACATTTTAACAATATAGCAAGTCTTTCTAATTCCTTTTGATTGAACAAAATGTAAGAAGGAAAGAAAATATCCTATCCAATAGACAGCACAGAATGTCTTTTAAAATACCGATATACTGGAAAGGTGTGTATAATTTTGTGACAGAATCCTGGTGATACTCGCCTTTTAAAAATACGTACATAGGGTGGCTCTGTCAGTTGAGCATCCGACTTTGGCTTCAGGTCATGATCTCACGGTTCATGAGTTCAAGCCCCACGTTGGGCTCTGTGTTGACAGCTCAGAGCCTGGAGCCTGCTTCAGATTCTGTGTCTCCCTCTCTCTCTGCCCCTAACATCCCCTCCCCACACCCCTCCCCTGCATTCTGTGTGTGTCTCTTTCTCTCAAACATTAAAAAAAAATTTAATAAACATATTTGCATATATGTGAATAAAGACTGAAGATTTCTATTTTGAAATACCTATATACTATTTTCTAAGCTCTAAAAAATGCTTACATAAAAGGTGAATTTATCACAGATTAAAATTTACATTTATTTGTAAGTTTCTTTTTACAAGAAGGACCTTGGGTAATGTAAAAGGTGAAATAAAATGGATTCACCTTATGTCAAGGAATTTTATTTTTATTTATTTTTTTTTTTTAATTTTTTTTTCAACGTTTATTTATTTATTTTTGGGACAGAGAGAGACAGAGCATGAACGGGGGAGGGGCAGAGAGAGAGGGAGACACAGAATCGGAAACAGGCTCCAGGCTCTGAGCCATCGGCCCAGAGCCTGACGCGGGGCTCGAACTCACGGACCGCGAGATCGTGACCTGGCTGAAGTCGGCCGCTTAACCGACTGCGCCACCCAGGCGCCCCTGTCAAGGAATTTTAAAATGGAGTCAGGGGCCATTAGGATGTGGGCCTTATGCAAGTCCTCACTGGGTATAATCATAAACTTTTGAATTGGGCCAAACTACCAATATAACAAGGATTCTACCAGTACCCGCAACCTGCTACAGTAACAGACTTTTTCTCAGCAATAGCCTTAGCCACCAATTATGTGTAGCCAAGATTAGTTTTCTGCTGTCAACGCCAAACAAAATTCTTTGTAAATAACGTAAAGAAGCATTCTTTTTTTGCCTCTAAAAACGCTTGACTTTTGTGCCCTAGTGGACATAATTTGGGTTGCTACCCAAATCTCTACTCCCCAAACTGCAATTCTGAGACCTGAAATAATAAGTGCTTTTGTTTTGTTTCAGTTCTGCCTCTTTTCTCAGTTGATGATGTCTTGCATCAATACAGACAGTATGGTAAGATGATTATCTTTCTGGAGGAACTTTTAGATATTACACAGAAGATATCAGCCGAAGTACAGATAATGCAGTTGCCAAAGAAAACAATGAAATGATGCACTTAGAATAGATACAGTACAGCAGCTCAACTCAGCAAATATTTTGTTGGGTATAAACAAGGAAAGCCTTCCCCTGAAACCAACTAAAAAATATGAAAAAGCCTTAGCATTTCCATACAGTCTTGAGCAAGCATATAAGTAATAAAGACCATGCCTTGAGCAAGTGCATAAACCAAGGGAAATTTAGTTCTGAGGATCCTGACATGAGAAAAGTGCATCTCGGCACCAAGAAAAGAGGATCAAAATAAAAACGAAACTATTTCTGAGTCACACCAGTTCAAGATTACTCAGTCCAGTAGTGAAGAGACACTGAAATTCTATAAAACCTCTCATATGACATTTGTAGAAATATACAAATGCACTCACACATTTGTGTGTACAGCAAACATTATTATAGTTCATTCTCAAATGTTATTTTGTATTGTCATCAAGTTTGGCGTTAGCAGATCCTTTTAAGTACTGCTATAAACCAAGCAAACTAAGTCTGCGAGTTACAGTTCAGATATTAGTGGCCAAGCAAGCTAAACTTTATTTAGTATGCATTTTTTCAGATTCCTGCCTGAGCATTCTATAGGTTATAAACCCTTACTAACTTTGTTTTTCACCTTTTTCTGCTAATATGGGCTCCTTATTGAAACACCAGAAATTTCCTTGATAATTTCCTACATAATTCCTATACCATTTCTCAATAGACACCAAGAAAATAGATTTTGACTCCTATTTTGCTCTAAACAAGTTGAATGACTTTGGTAAAGTTAATTAAACTTCTAGACTATAGATTTCTTATCTGTAAAAGGCTCTTTAGGGATTCTTCTAATTGTAAAATTCTATTTACCTGTGATCCTGCTGAAGTTTGGCCTTTACAGTCAGATATTTTCTGGTTCAGCTTAATATCATCAGGTATCCAGTAAAACAGAGAACTGGGGCACTGATTTAAGTCATTTAGAGAAAATTCACCAGTTTTACTACCTGGAGTTTTCATTAATAAAACACAGTTTTATTCAAGAGCTATGAAAAAAAGATCCCAAATGAAGTAAGCATTGCTAAGAGAGTCACTCAGAATGGAGTGGAAAGGGCTTGAGGAAGTAGGACCAATGCAGGTCTCTCCCTGCAGTTCTCAGTTCTCAGAACAACGGGAACTTCTGACTCTTGCCAATTGCAACCAGAACTCCTCCTTCTACTTTGAACTGAAATACAGATAATGTAACACCTGTGAGCTAAATAGTCAATTGTGTATTAGATAGTTTAAACTCTGCCCCCACCAATCATAATTCTTTCAAAACAAGTTACATGACCTTGTGGGTTTTGTCTTTTTTTTTTAATTTTTTTTTTCAACGTTTATTTATTTTTGGGACAGAGAGAGACAGAGCATGAACGGGGGAGGGGCAGAGAGAGAGGGAGACACAGAATCGGAAACAGGCTCCAGGCTCCGAGCCATCGGCCCAGAGCCTGACGCGGGGCTCGAACTCACGGACCGTGAGATCGTGACCTGGTTGAAGTCGGACGCTTAACCGACTGCGCCACCCAGGCGCCCCTGTGGGTTTTGTCTTTATAAGCCTGCACTCCCCACTCATAATTCAAAGCACTGTCAATTTTGGTTGACCTGTGTTTCCCGGATTGCAATCCCCAAAACTCCAAATAAACGCTCCGGTTGCTTCACAGCCTCTTCTTCATCAACATTACTGGGCATAGCTGGTAGGATCTCAAGTACCCGACCTCTGTCTCCAGTGTTGCCGTGGATTTGAGTCAGGTACCAAGAGTCCATTGCACTCCTACATATCCTTGGTGGCTTCAAGTCACAGTGATAAATCCTCTTGGTCCTGAACCTCCCATCTTGGTCAAGGTTCAGGCCTTTAATTGGATGTCCTCTGTTGCTTGCTTCTGTCCTCACTCATTTTTGAGGGGAGGATTCCATCTTCACTCATTCTGAATGGAATATTTGGGTTTCAGGTTCTTGGTAAGCACTCAATTATGGGAAATAATTTTTTTTTAATGTTTATTATTTTTGAGAGAGAGAGAGAGAGACAGAGACCAAGCAGGGAAGGGGCAGAAAGAGAGGGAGGCACAGAATCCGAAGTAGGCTTCAGGCTCTGAGCTGTCAGCACAGAGCCCGACGCGGGGCTCGAACTCACAGACCGCGAGATCACGACCTGAGCCGTAGTCGGCTACCCAACCAAGTGAGCCACCCAGGCGCCCTGGGAAATAATTCTTCTAAGGAGCTTCTAATATTCAGCCCCCTATTGTAACTCCTGCAGTATTTATGTTAAGGAATATGGTCTTTCTTGCTGTGAATTTTTGCCCCATTGGATCAAATTACCCAAGATGATTTAAAACTTCATTGGTCAAAATGGACACTTTTGACGTCCTACAGCTAGTTTACTTGCGTGCACAATTGGAAAAGGCTTATAAAGACAACCAAATGGGATGCCTATTTCAGTTGGTACCTGGGGGGTTTCAAACATAGT